GGGCCACCACAAAGCAACACCAAGTTCCACCAGCAAGCCTTGCTGCCCAGGAAACCAAGCACATGCTTGCCCACCCCGGGGCAAGATGACTGCAGGAAAAAGCCGTTACACTGAGAAATGCAGCGCTAGCAAGATAATTGGACAACAGCAGAAAAGCCCTCCTGCCCCGCTGCAGCACCAGACTGGGGTGGGAGCAGGGGAGGCAGGCACTCCCCTGTAGAAGCTGGAATGGTGGCAGGGGAGGTGCTGGACCAAAAAGGCCTGCCACTCTAGCCAGGGGAAAGAAGGGATTGGGTGGGAGGTGGACCCACCCAAGGCACACAGAAGTTTAGGAAGATTAATTGGTCATTCTGAGAAAACACCTGGTCTGGGCCACATTCGAAACTAATACAAACCCAGGGGAACAAAGAAATCTCTCTCTCATCGTTCGCAGCTCAGGACCTGCACTCAGACGGCACTCTGGCCTGTCCTCTCCGTGGACCGCGGGACTGCTAAGGTCACGTGACCTGTGCCTTGAGGATGCAGTCTCTACGTCTCTTGCCAACCCGGCGGAGCATTTGTCAGCACACGTCTGTGTTCTCTGGCCCGGGAATATGGGACCTTGTGGCCTTAGAATCCACATGGCCAGTGGTAGCACAGGCTCCGCATGCAGCTTCCAGGAGGGAGCCCGAAGTTGGACAGCGGCTGGGAATGAGCGAAGCCACCTGGATGACCACTCTGTAGCCACATTGGGCTCCAAAGGAGGGCACTTCCAAATGGGGCTGGAGTCCTGGGCACTGCTTTTTGTTTTGGTCTTGCCGAGAATGGCTGCATTTTGTCTGGGTCTTGGGCAGCTTTGAGACGGAGAGTCCCCCACCTTCTCCCAGTTTGTTCCGAATTTAAATAAAACCTTTTTACTTTTCTCACCAGTCTCTGCCTCTAGAGTTTGCCTTTTTCTGGCAGTGAGGAGCCAATGCCCACTTTTGTTCAGTAACAACTGTTACAGGTAATTTCGTTTCATGCTTCTTGCCTACCTAGTGACTTTTATTGTATGTGTTATATGTTGAATCTTTGTGTCCTTCCAAAATTCAGACGTAGAAGACCTAACCCCTAATGTGATTACATAAGGAGATAAAAACACTACAGAAGTAGTTAAGGGTAGATGAGGTTATGAGGGATGGGCCCTGCTGTGATAGGATTAGTGTCTTCAGCAGCAGAGACACAGGAAAGTTTGCTGTATCTCTCCAAATGCACAGATATGAGGGCACCCGAGCACCCAGCAGAGTGGCAGCCCCCTGCCAGCCAAGAGAGGAAGCCTCAGAATGAAACCTACTTTGCCAGAATTTCATCTTGGAATTCCAAGACTGTGAGAAATAGATTTCTATCATTTAAGTTACCCAGTCTTGTACCACAGCTCAGCTCAACTAATGCTTGACACTACAGATGATAGGTACAGAAGCTGATGCAGTTCGGAATGAGCCGCACCAAGATGAGCCTCGGTGTATGCAGACTACTTTGAGCTTAAAGCAATTTTAGCTTCAGGCTCAGGAGAAATGCCCACCCCTTCCTTTAACTTTTGGAAGAACTTGAATCAGAGGCTTTGCCCATAATAAGTGATTATCAGAGACCACCTATCTTCTTTTGACCTATCTACAAGGCAGGCCAAGCTTATGTCTGGTAAACGTCTGTTCTTCTTACCATCCTGCAATCACCTTTTGAAACCCCCAAAGGTGCATTACCCCATCCCCAGTGTAGGATGTCTTGTATGCCTCAGTTTCCCTTTCTATTCTCAAACCTCTCATGCCTGTGGAGTCTCTGACTCTCTCATGTATGCAGGGTTCCCAAACATACATATGTGTTACATTTGGTTAATTTCTCTTCCTCATCTGTCTCATATCTATTTAATTATTAGATTAGCCAGAAGGACTTTGAGGGTAGAGAAAAATTTGTTCCTCCCCCACAAGGCTCTGAATTATATATTTTTTCAGGATAGTTGAGTTTTGTGTTGGCAGGCAGTTAAATTACCTGTGGATTAACTCGTTCCTGTATTTAAGATTCAAGTTACTCCTAGATTGAAGTGGTTATTCCTCAAGCATGGCCCTCACTTCCAGAACGTTCAGGCTGTTCACAAAGTTCTGTCAAGTCTGGCTAGGCTCCCCTCCAGGGCCTTCCCAGGTCTCAGACCTCTGAAATCGGCCCCTAGCAGTCACACCCTAGGCATCTGCTCTTTGACTAGGCTTCCCAGAGACTCACCAGGCAATGTGCAGCCCAGGAAATGGCCAAGGTGCCAGGGGCACTCTTAAGCAAACGTCTGGGGTTCTCTGTCTGTGGCTATTCGCTGTGGCACTTTAACCATTGGAACTCAGCTGTACTAGCAGCCCTGGACTGTAACTCTTCCTGTTGTCTGGGCTCCACTTTCACGGACAAGAGGTCCTTCAAATGCTCCCAACAAGAAAACGTGGTGAATGTGGGACAACACACAAGTGCACCCTCTCTGTCAAGGGCGGCAAGCCTGCTCTGGGTGTTTCCTTGTGCTTCCAAATAGCTATTTTGTATATTTTGGGTAGCTTTTATCATTGTGTCCTGTCGGAGGAAGTCCAATCATGGCCCCTATCAGATTTGTTTTCACCTAACACTGAACTCACTAAACAATAACATTGTTTAATGTTACTTGAAAACATTACTAAATGAAAAAATGAATGGAATAATCAACCCATGGTTATTTCAGGACAGGGTGATTTGGGGGGTGCCTTTCGACTTCTTTGTATTTTTTCTACTACTTGAATTATTTACAATGAGCATGATTAGCACCTATAAACACACACACACACACACACACACACACACTCTCTAGCTTTTAATGTTTTGAGGTTATACTGAGTCTTCAGCTACTAGTTTTGTATTCAAAGTTTAGGTGTAAGCCTGAAGCCTGTCTAAGAGACTAAAGGATGACAAGACCTCTCCCCAGGGAAGTTCCTGCCCAGCAAACACGTTTGTGAAGCCATAAGTGCAGTCTTCTCTGTCCTTACCAATCCACGAAGCAGGCAGGATTAAGGGAGACCGGCTCCTCGTTGCTGCTTCTGAGACCAAGGAAACAGTCCCATTGAGTATAGGGTACCTACTGAAGCTACAGCACTGGGGTTCCGGCTCAGAAACAGCTATTCATCTCTCTTGACATTGTACATCCCAGGAACTGTGGGTTGTGCTTGCAAATAAGTGCTTCCCTAGTAGAGAGAGGAGTGCTGGCCTGTATGGGCTAAGAAGGAAAATAGAGAGAAACAGGTTCCGTAGACAACAAAGCACTGCTACAAAAGAGGACTGGCTTGAGCGCCAATAATTCCAACTAGATGAACATGGCAAGGTGGGACCTTCAACTTAAGTCTCTGTAAATAGGAGGTGTATATACCTATTTATCTAGCTACATCTATTTACTCATGGATATTTTGTATTAAATCCTCCCATGATTGCATGGTTGGCTAAGGAAAGAAGGTAACATGTGAAACCTAAACGTCTTAATCCCACAGAATTCTATGTAATTGGATTTCTATAACATTCTACATAACCAACCTGGGCAAGGCTTTCAATACACTTGGCTTCAAAGACTTCCTGCATGCTGAGACATGAAATTTCTTTTCTAGATCTTTTCCTGAACTTTAGACCCACATGGGAAATGTCTTACTGGTTATTCTATCCTAAATTCAGCTTGCAAAGAAAAATCAAATATCCCCCATCACAACTTGTTATTTCTTTTCATTCATTTAACAACCGTGTTGTGAATGCCCACTATATGTCAGGCATGATGGTAAGGGCTAGAAGTAGAGATACATATGATCTATCCCTACATTCAGGAAGTTCGGTTTAGTGAAGACTGAGAAATAAAAGTGAGTATAATGTAAACACGATGATGGAGAAGAGGGTGCTGCTTAACAGAGATCAGGTCATCTGATCCACAGGTATGTTGGGGAGCACAGCATAGCTTAATGATCAGAAAAATCATACAGGGTAAAATCTGAGCTTTTTCAAAGAATTAACAGGACAACTTCTGCCCGGGGAGGCGGGGGGGGGGGTAACAATTCCACCATCTGACACACACCTAACTGCTCTACTCAGCCTGGCCCACACGAGGGGCTGCAGTGAGTCTCCAGGTCAGAACTGGCCCTGGAAATTGCCCCCACCCCCATCCCATTACACGTTTGCCATCAAGGACACAATTCAGATGGTTCATTTAGCCCTCACCCCTGTCTGCTTTATAAGGCAGTGGTTTCCTGGAGGCCTCCTGATATCGTGGTAAGAATGCCCAGATTCTGAAGTTTAACCTGGGAATGCCCAAGTTTAACCTGTCTAAAACTCACTTCCTCATCTGAGAAAGACTGATAATTATGAACCTAGTGCTTACCTCAGGGGAGGGTACAAATAGCAAATGAGATGACGGGTGCCGGCAGGCCCAGAACAACACAAAAATTAACTGTCTTTGTTAGGTTTTGAGCGTGATGGAGTATGACTTCGATTAAAATACAAATGCTGATTTTGAAAGGAGGACGTGAAGCTTTTGGAACTTTCTCAAATATGTAACAATACGTTTTAATTGAATTCAGTACTTATGTCCTTCCTAGCAGACCAGAGTTTCCAATCCGGCCTGGACTTCGTTCCAAGGAGATACTGGCCTTGGACAAGTTATTGATCCTCTTTCAGCATCCTCTTGGGTTTCACGGGGATAATTAAACGGACCTCAAAGGGATGTTGTGAACATCATTTAAAGTCAGGAACAGAAAACACCAGGTAGCGATGCTTTCTCACGCAACATTTTAACTAAAGAAAGAGGTCTTTGTGCAAGAACCTAGAGGCCGGGAACTGAGCAGGGGAATGAGGGAAATCTGACTCCGGTGCAGCCAGGAGAAGGCGGATAGTAGTAGTCCACGCTCTCCAGGGCGGGAGGCGGCACCGCGGCGGGAACGGCCCCCGGCCCCGGTAGGGGGCGCCGAAGCGCCGCACTGCAGCATCCAGGCGCTCGGCGCCGCGGCCCCGCAGAGCAGGGCTCGCGCGTCCTGCCGCAGTCGGGGCGAGCGCCAGCCCGGAGACTCACGCCGGTCCGGCCGCACTTGCTGCTGCTGCTGCCGCTCGCCACGGGGATCAGTCCAGCAACTCAGAAACGCAGCCTGCACCCTGGGCCACGCAGCGTGGGAGGGCTTCACGGTCTCCGGGGACCGATTCCGAACTTGCAAGGGGCCGCCGTTCTCCCGGGCCTGGAGATTGTGAACAGGTGAGTGTCACGCACGTGCCCAGGTGGCTCTTTCGGGGCAACTTCCTGCAGCCCTTCCGTGTCCCTGATCGCTGGGCTTCTGGGTGGGTCCTCCTGGTTACTGGGTCCCCTCGGGAAGGCTCTGGGGCTCGCCGAGAGGGAGATGTGAGCCCTGGCGCCCAGAGTTTGACAGCGCCCTCGGAGCTGGGACAGAGACTACCCTGTTGACTTGGGCTGCCTTTGATCTGCCAAGTAACCTGCAGTCGCCCGTGGGCTTATTTGTTTATCATTCCTGATACCTGTTGCTTTCAGAGCAGCGCCATAGCCAGAGGTCTTGGACAATTGTTCTCACCGTTGTGGGTGCTGCGTCGTAAGATGAGGGAAAATTCCCAGTGATGAGATCAGGAAAACTTGGTTCCAAAGCGGGAGAAGACACAGCCCCAACAGTGTCTCATTCCCACGACCAGACTAGATTCTTTGCTTCCATGAACAGTTGTACTTTATTTTGATGATAAATACAGAAGTTAGAAAAACTATTACCTTATAAAGATGCTTGCTTCCCCCCCCCCCCACGGGAAGTGGAAAGCATGGGCCTTGACAAGTAGTCTTGGGAATGATTTATTATGAATGAAACCTTTCTTTAAATATATTTTTAAATGAGGTCATTAGTGGCCTAAATGGCATGGGTCTAACAGATTGTAAGCTGCCCGAGGCAGCTACTCTGTTTGTATATGCTTAGCGTAAGTGTAGAATGAATCAATCAATGCATTAATAAAAACAGGATTTGGAGGCTAGCTTCCTTTTTTCTTCTTTCTAAGCTTTCTTTTAGGTCTTTTATTTTAGAGAAAAAAATCACCATTTATCTCTCAAATATCTAGGTGTGATTTTACTTTAGAAGTGATAGGAACTCAGAAGTTTTTGCCCTAATAAAGCACTGTCTACATAGAAAGTGAATGGCAGCTTCTACACTCAGCCAGAATATTTCCACGCAACATTAAAACAAATGTTTTGTTAGATCCAAGTTATGGAAGGTCTTGGTTTATTCATTATTTTCAACATCATAAACTTGGCAACAGGTCACTTGTTACAATAATTTACACATTTATCTTTGGTTTTTATCTTTGTCGAAAGTAACTTTTCACATTTTCATGTGAGAAATAGGATACTGAAGGATACAGGTTAACTTGTGTCTTCTGTTAAGTCATTTTTCTAAACATCACATAAGACTGACAATAACCAGCTGTATCTTTATTCAATTATAAATGAAAAAATTAATCCAAACAGTTTTTCTTTCTTATGTGTAATTCCTATTCCTCTGAGGCCATTTGGGAGTTACTGAAATATTTGACTTACCAAATGTTTTTAAAACATTTGATGACTATTTTCATGAAACATCAATCAGATGGGTCATTACATTGATTTTATGTGCATGGGAATTAACAGTTTTGCATTGTTGTTTATATAAGCTCCACACACTTGCATGGTCTATACTTCAAGAAAATGCTTGACATTCTCATATAGAATTTATATAGTTAATGTATCTTTATATGTTATGCTTCTGTGAAACTTCTGTAATAAAGCATGAAGCATAGAGACTTCTTCTTAATGGGTGTATATAAAATTAAAATAATGAAATCCTTTTATCTTTAGCCAAAATATGGAACTGGACAAATTGCAGATGTTAAAGCGTCTGGGTTTTGTACTATTAATGATTACTAGGAAGTTTTTTCATTACTGGGGATGAAGTAAACAATTGCTAATGTTAATGTTGACCTTTTCATCTTTCAGAGGAGGCTCTGACACTTTGGAAATTAGCAGACTCAAAATTTGTTAGGTGCAGGTTGATGGCTCAGAGTCATAATGAAGAAAATAATTATGTGCTAACGTCTTTGTAGAAATACCTTTTCAGAAGGATTCTTACTCTTATCTTTCACTGGAGGAGCTGTTTTTGGAAGTCCGTAGATGACCAAAGCTGGCAGGAACACTTAGATAACAAATTCGTGTTTCAAAATTCTCTTTACAGACTGGAAAAATGGATGAACTGAAGACTGATGTGATTATGTTTAGCAAGGATAAAAGTGAAATCTTGTATCTAGTTTAGAACATTGATGGCAGACGTTCAGAATGGGCAAGTCCGCAGCTCATGTGGGGGATGTGAGCCTTCATATATGGGTGGTTGTGTGGCAGCAGAACCACAGTGCCCAGATACTCAACTACAAAAATCTCAGCGAACTTGTGCTGGGTCACTTTGTCAGGTCACATATCACATGGTGACTGCAATGGATGCCACATGTTTAGAATGATTAAAATGGCAAGTGCCAGAGGAGAGAGCTACATAAGGTGAAAAGGGAATGTGAGGGCCCAAAAATACACAACACCACCACCATACATCCCATCACGAGCAAGAGAAGATGCCAGCCCTCATTTCCCTAGAAAGTAGAGGCTAGGATTATAGCAAAGGGTCCTCGTAGCTGCTAGGCTACTTGAAATGTTCTGAGCAAAAGAAGAAAAAGCCGACAGTGCTCCCTCTTCCCCTCCGTACCTGAAAGTGTAAATTAGACAATGGATGGTCATGGGATGATCGATCATAAGGAAGGGTGCCTGCGATGTCCAGAGGGTGCTTTGGTTGACCCCAAGGCTCTTTTCAACTTTACATGGTACTAAGACCTCAGGCGTCATTCCTAACACATCCACCTACATAAAACGTGCTCACATTGTATGTAATGTAGCTTCCCAAGGGTTAGAACAGTACCATAAACCAATATACTTGACATTGTTGTAGAAAAGGAATCCGAAGTCAGGGCATGGCATTTTCTCTTGCGTACCAGGACATTGTGCCTAGAAAAATATAAAAATATGATCTAAATATTGTATATCAATTCCTGGAACACGTGTATCTGTCATATGACTTGATCATGTGATCTAGTATGAACCAAGATAAACTTTAAACCTTGAAATGCAAGTTCAACTATGTTACATTGGGTTGACTGATATGAATGTATATGATTTGGCCCAAAGGGAAATAAAGAGTCCCAAATGTGACTCCTTCACCACATGTTTGCATCTTGGATGTTTACAGACACATGGTAAATGCATGTAGTTACATACTTTGAATTACTGACAAAAACCAATGCCTTCATAAAAATATTCTTTGAGGAAGTACTTTAGAAAATGCAATGGTGAGTGAAAATGCATGTGTTTTAAAACCAAAACAGATAGAAGTTCAAGTCCTGGGTCTGTCATTTGATAGTTGAGTGCCAGGAGTTTACAGTCAATTACTACAGCCCTCTCACAGTATTGTGGCAAAGGTCAAAATGTTGATAAAGTTCAATGGTGGCTGGCAGAGAGGCCATGCTTAATAAATATTAATTCCTTTCTACAGTCACTTAGGAACTGCTAAATCTCTTTCTTTTAAGGGTTGCAGATTTACAATGACATGGTGAACCCAAAGGCCGGAACCAAAACGATTTTCTCAGCTCTTTAGTGTAAACGACAGTGAGTTGAGTTGTCTACCAACATCCAGAATGGCTAAAAGTGCAGAGGTCAAACTGGCAATATTTGGAAGAGCAGGCGTGGGCAAGTCAGGTAAGTTCTGTTGTGTTTGTTTGAGTGTGCATGTGTGTATGTCTTTGTTACTGCCTCCCGGGACTGGGTGGGGGGGTGGCATTTCTCATATTCTCAGGTGTCGTTCTTTTAGACGAAGTCTCTTTTTCTTTATCTAGAACTTTTATTTTGCATAGTCAGGTTTTATGTATTCTTTTGCATATTCATGAAAAAGTAGCTTCATTAATAATACACAAGGCAATGGACATATCACATGTCTTGGTATTCTGAGGAAGGATATGAAACAAACCTCTAGAGAAATCAGATTGTGGAAATTAAAACTGTATTTGCTCTTTTTTCTCTATATGCAATCCTGAGGGGCCTCAGCAACCAGTGCAACACCAAGCATGTGTTGGGTGCTTCATAAGTACTTGCTGAGTAAATACGTCGTTACAAGAAATAGAATTGCATGGTTGTCCATCACCTCTGAAACTGGGGAGGGCTGGGGAAAACTGAGAGTGGCCATGCAGACAGCTAGTGCCAGTGCTTCCGGGGTGGGTTTAATGACCAAATTCTGGCTCACATCAGTAATTCTCACAGAGTCATAAAGCCATCTCAGGAGACAGGGGCTTGCAGACCTTTGAAATTAAGGGTAAAATGGCAAAAGTGAGGAAGTATCTAATCTAATTCAAAAAATATATCTCGGATTTTATCATTCAAAAATGCTAAAGTAGGTGTCGCTCAAATGTCAGGGCAGCCTGACTTTTCAGATAATGTTGCCTTGACCTCATACTGGAGAAAAGACCCATAAATGACCTTGCACATGGAGCTTTTGGTTCTTAGGAGGAGAGGACTCTTAGCGGCTGTTTGGGAGAAGTGTCTGTGTAGAGGCAACCCTGTTTGCATCATCCAGTATAACAGGTAATCCACATAATCTTAAGCAAACACCCATGAGCAGCTTTTAATTCTGTGACCAGCCTTTCTTTTCTAACCTGCTCTCTGATTTAATTTCAGTGGTAAATCTTCCCTAGTCTATTGTCTTTCTTTTTTTGCTTTTACCCCTTCTTGCTGTCGCCCTTTTCTTCCACTTGGTGCTTGCTCTTGCCTCTGGCAGAAGCCAAGCAAAGAAAATAGATAGTTGGCAAGACTGGAAAACTGCCGTCCCCCACGAGATTATAGTTTAAATCCTCCCCATTAATCGCAGTGTTTCCTGATGGCGTGAGAACCTCATTTCTGTCGCTGGTGAAAGGATCTGGGGAATGAGGAAACTGTCCCAGTGAGCGGAGGACAAAGGCGAGGGCGCGAGTGGGAAGGCCTGTGCCCCAGTCGTGGCTCAGCTGAGTCCTTTGTCAGTGAAGGGTCCAGGGATGAGGCTGACTGTTTATTCTTCACTCATTCAAAATTTATCATGGGCGATAAAGCAAGGGGGTCTATTAACCTTATATTATTTATCGAAATGAATTTCACAGAATTTGAAAAGTTCAAAGTAAAGTATCTGTTGTGAAAACCACTTAGCTGTATGCACATGCATCTCAGAGTAAGCTGCGCACCTCCTGTCAAGGCCGATCCATCAGCCTCCGCCTAGACCCCAGCTTTCTTCCTCTGCCCCACATTGTTTGTTCTCATTCTCTGCCGGTCGTTTTTCCTTAATCATTTCTGTGTCCACGTCTCTATCTTTTTCCTTTCTCTAATCTTATTGAAGGTAGGCTCTGCCCTTACTGTCTACTTAGTTTTTTTAACTCCCATTCATTGATGGCAAGCTTCCGTTGCGACCATGCTGCAGGAACTGCTTTTGCTAAGTTGTCCACTGATCAACCACCAACAAACCTGATGAACATTGTTCAGTGCTGGTCTTCTGTGGCTTCTTATCATCATCCAACACAGTCGCTTCTTCTCTCTAAAACTCCTTTCTTCCCAGGCTCCCAGGACATCACACTTCTTGACCTCCCTGCTCCCTCTGCATTGCCCCTGACCAGCTGCCTTCACGGGCTGCTCTTCATGGGTCAGCCTGCCAAGCACAGGGGCTCCCAGGGCTCTACGTACCGTCCCCTTGTGTCCTCCTTCCATACACTCTTCCACTGCTGACGCCAACACCTGCACACAGACTACAGATTCTGATGACCTTGAAAACTGCAGAAGGGGAACTTGCTCACTAAAATCCTATGGTTCTGTAAGAATGAATCTTCTGTAGACTCTGTACATTCTAGCACTTGCATTTATTTTCATTTAGGTAAAAATGACAATGACAGACTACCTGCCTTTAAACAGTTGTCCTTTGTTCATCATTCATACACAGTGCTTTCCTATTTCCACCTCACACTGTTTTTTGAGACCTTGAGACCACACCTTACATTTAGAATTACTACTGGTTTGACTTAAGCATGGGAGACAATTCTGAAACCTTTACCCATAATTGAGTCAAAAAAACCCCACAGAGTACTGGGGTTCATATCTATTTGCCTGGAAACCAGGCTGTAGCAAAGTGGAATCCATGTATATTCTATAAGTCTTTATAAATTTGGATACATGTCTTAGTCGTTGTACCACATGTTCACCTTCCCTGTCATACAGACTGTATCAGTCACATTAGTAACTTGTGTTTTTCTGAGTCTACAAGAATGCAACTGCCGCTCCTCCTCCCTCACGAAAGGGACATGATCTCTGCATAGGCTCAATCTGTCTGTTTCTCTCCAGACAGCCTTCGCAGGAAGTATTCCTGGGGGTGGGGGCAGTTTGAGGTCCTGGAACGATCGAAGCTGAGCTCTGATCTGACTTGGGTCTGTGCATGAATTGCTTCAGAGCCTCAGGTCGTTCCTGTCCCATGCACTTCCCCCACGCTCAATACCAAACTGAATTTGAGTTATGTAAGGCCACATTGTCCATTTGCTAACAGAGAGTAGCACAGCCTAGAAAACACGCACTGTTGGATTTGACTCCCAAATCTGCACTTTATTAACTGTGGAGCTTGGCAAGTTTGTCAAGTGACTCAACTTTTCAATTTCCTCAACTATAAAAAGGATATAATAGTGCCTATCTCAAAGGATTGTCGTTAGGATTGAATAAGTTATTACATGCAAGTTTATTACAACAGCACCCGACATGTAGTAAGTACTCAAGAATTAGGTATAATTTTTTGAGTTATGATCATTTTAATTTGTAAGTTACTTAGTGAAACATACAATTAAAGATATATTTACATTCAAGTGGTTTTCATATGTCAGAAAACTTGTAAGACAAAAATTCTGTATTGCTGCTCAGCACCCTGCCCCCCACCCCGCTCAGACACACATTCCCTCTCTCTCTTTTTCTCTTAAATTGAGAGTCTGGTTAATGTCAATTATAGCGTGATAACTGATGATCATGACAATACTTCTTATGGCTTATACCTTGGAAATCTTGGAAAAATAGCCAGAGATATGTTAATGTCATCAGTAAATTACCACCCTTAAATTTGAAAGTACTTCTGGTATGTTGTGGATAGCTTCTTAAGCCCAGGTAATATATAGGCCATTTGTGTCTAAAACAGAATTTAACGTTAACCAGAACTTTTTGGTTGGCAGGTTGTTACTGTAGTAGAAGTATCACTATAGGCAAAATTTAATAATGTCTCAGTTGCTCAGAAACACTGATGAAACACGTGAAGCATGTGTGTGTCCATATGGCGGTATCACACACATGTGGCTACAGTTCCATAGTCTTTTGTGTTGGGGAACTCTTCTTCCTTCTGTCTAATTTTACCTTGCCGTTCTCTCTTCTGGTTGTTGGCCCAGGAAGCCTGCTCGTTGGCTCAGGGAGCTTGAGCCTGGCTCAGTATGGCGTGTGCTGAGGGTCTGCTGCAAAGCCTGGAGCCATGGCTTCCCAGTCCACGTCATCTTCTCTTGTCCCAGTAAGGCACACATCTGCTTTCACTGGCTAAGGGCAAAGCCCTAATGACGTGACATGTAAGACAAAGATTTCCTTACTTGGGTGTGTCAGGCTGTACTTTCACAGGCTCCAAGTAACTAAAGTGGTAAGACCTACCATACAACCTAGAATGTGCATTATACTTATTTAAGTGCTTTTTGGATTCATAGTATTCAAATTTGTAGTAAGTGTGGAAGAGGCTGAGAGAAAAACAACTAAAATTTTAAATTTAGTTTTATAGTTAACATTCTCATTTTATTTTTTTTAATTAACTAGTTTATTTATTTTTGGAGAGAGGGGAATGGAGAAAGAAAGAGGGAGAAACATCAGTATGTGGTTGCCTCTCACACACCCTCCACTGAGGATCCAGCCTGGAGCCTAGGCATGTGCCCTGACTGGGAATCAAACTGGTGACCTTTTGGTTCACGGGCCGGCACTCAATCCACTGAGCCACACCAGCCAGGGCAGCATTCTCATTTTAGAATTGAAATATGTGCCCTAGCTAAATATATTTCTTGAAAGGGCTAGTCTCGAAGTTAATTGAGTAATGTTATCCTCTAATTCAAAAGCACTCATCCGAGAAGACTTAAGTTCATAGATTCAGATAGCTAAGCTGGAAATTGGGTGCCGAACACAAATGAGCTTGTGAAATTCTTTTTCCTTGACACAAAAAGAGGTGATTTATTTTTTCCTCCTTTTCCTTGTTCTTGCTTGCTTTTCCTCTCTCTCTGAAATCTAAAATACTTTGAAAGCTATTTTCTCTTATTTTCAAGGGGAAGAGGAACAATTTTGATTTTAAACATGACTTCCAAGTGCTGCTTTAACATGTATATATATATGTACTCTTTTGGCTGGAGTATGTTTATGAGATCTTATATATTCTCCTGTACATTAAATATAAACAATATCAATACCATCTTGGATAGATCCATTTCCTTATGCTAGGGACCTAACCTGTTTTAGGATTATAGCTATTTTTAGGATTATAGCTATTTTCAGTAGCTATAAACCATTTTGCTCCCTTCATTCTGACTTAGTGGTGTAGAATGATGGTTCTTGAATGTGGTTTTCAAAGTACTTCTAAAAGAAGAAGAGGAAAAATCTAGCGTGTTGGGGGTATGTAAGCATCTCATTAAAAT